CTTATGAAGCTAACCCTGCCCGAGGCCTTCTGATAGGACAGAGGAAGCGTAAGAAAAAGCCTATGAAAATTCCTGGGGCTTCTTGAAGGATGACTTACAGCTCCAAAATGGTGGTTGTCATGTCACCAACTTCCATCACCACCAACTGACAAAACCAGTTTGTAAATATGTTAGGGACTGACACTTAATGTGCCCAACACACATCAGATACCTCACCAATTAGCTGCAAATAGCTGTAGCAACTTGTGTTATTCTTCTTGCATGTCCATAAAATCCCAATAGGAATTAACTTCAATTAATATGACTGTTTTGTAATGAAGAAAATTGAAAAACAGCATAGCACATCAGGATTCACCCAAAGCAGAAACTTGTTTATTTCAAATTTGGGAAATAGTCTCCAATCCTATACTCAAGTTCATCTGAATTCACTTCTAGGTAAGCATACATTGTTGTTGTTTAGTCGTTTAGTCATGTCCAGCTCTTTGTGATCCCATGGACCAGCGCACACCAGGGCCTCCTGTCTTCCACTGCCTCCCGGAGTCTGGTCAAATTCATGTTGGTGACTCACATTCATGTTGGTAGCAAGTATACGTAGGATTCATCATATTCAACCAATTCTCCCTCCACTCCAGCTTTTACACCTTTCCTTACAAACATACAGAAATTGGTAAAAAATTCATGTTGGTAGCAAGTATACATAGGATTCATCAAATTCAACCATTTCTCCCTCCACTCCAGCTTTTACACACGTTTCCTTACAAACATACAGAAATTGGTAAATCATTTTATAATCAGTGTGCATGACATGTTATAATGATATATTTTATGAATATTCAATTCTTCAAAAAAAAACCCTCCTGTTTATAAATGTGGGATAATGTGCTTCTATCTCCATGATTCAAAACACCAAGAAATGGCCCGATATTGCTGCACAACATCATGTCCACGTTGCCAGCAGGAAAAAAGATGTCAAGCTGTACATAGCAAAGGGCAATCTGAATGCTGACAACACCAATGGTAGCAATCAAGACAGTCTACCTCTTGTGCTAAAAAATACTCTTCTTAATGTTTAGTTTAAGATAAAATACTGAATGACTGCAAACCTGTAACACTATTCATAAAATTTAGTCCATTCCTACATGATAGATGAAGAGACTCTGCTGCAATTCTGGAGCATGCATCAACCCAGTGTGAATGTGGCCCTGATTTTCATGTCCAGTACTCCAGTACTTTTTTTGCGTGGTTTGACTAGGAGCAGACTGGAGGTTACAAGATGTGTTACAACAAGCAACTGGATTTTAGCTAAAGTTCCGCTGCCTTTCAGGATATTTTGCATTTATTTATTTATTTATTTATTTATTCAATTTATATGCCGCCCAAACTACCCAGAGGTAGTTTGGAGCCAGAGATTCATACAGGTATTCCGGATTTCTCTAGATATTTTTTTTCTTCCTTGTTTCTTAGCTACTGGAGACTGTGATGCAACTGTATGTCTCTACTGATTCTGGATTTAAAAATTCTGATTTTGATCTCTGCAGCTGTATAAACATAACAGTATATCTTGCAAGTTCTCTCGCAGCTTTTGTAACGCTGAAAATGAGCAATGTCTTCCATACTGGGGGAAAATGAGGGGGAAGATAGGAAGGCAAGCACTATTTTGACATGTGTTATCCAAGTGTTTTATACTTTCTGCCAAAATAATACGCATTCCCTATATATGAAGCTAAAGCTGATTCATGCAGTTAAATGTTTTACCTTTTCACAAGAATTCCCATAGGCACAATTTTCTGATTGTCATCACCAATTTCCCTATTACAACATCCATCCATTACAACTTCCCTATGAAAAGCTTGAGTGATAGCTGCACAGTTTTCATTTGCTCTCTTGGGCATTTGTATGGACTGAATTTGAGGTGGGGATGAGAAAATATTCAAAGGTTACCTCCAAATATTAAAAGTAGACACATTTTGTTTCCTTGGTTACTATTCAACCACAAACTGTACAGATACTCATGTCAACCTGTTACAGAGGAAGCTAGTGGGGCAATTTCACATGCATTAATGTGGTAAAGGCCACTTCATGAGATGCATGAAGTGCAATAGTCTTTCACAGTAAGCAGGGATAGACAGAAGAACATTTGCTTAAAGTTCTGACACTAAGCCAACCATACTACAATGGTAGCCGAAGACACTACAGTGCCTGAGGCAAATTGTGTCCCCTATTATACAAACATAGATGAAACATCCCCTTTTCATATCAACCTTTTTGTTACATAAGAGACAGGCACCGTGTCCACCATCACTTAATTAAACTCAATCATACTTCAAAACTAACTGTTGAAGGACAGGTTACTTACCTGTAACTGTGGTCTTTGAATGGTTATCAGCACACACAGGTACCTCTGGGCCTATGCAGACAATCCTGAGAACATTGCAGAGCTTTAATTCCCCCCCCCCTTGGGCTAATATATCCCTGCAATCAATGATCACTCCTCAGATCCTTCTGTCCACATAAATGGAAGCAGCATGACAGACACAGGGAGGTTGGGTGGGTTGTGTGAATTCCCTGATGATCACTCAAAGAACCAGTTACAGGTAAGTAACCTGTCTTTCATAGTTTCTGTGATCCACACACATGGGTGACTCCAAACTAATCGGCTGGTGGGATGTCATGTGAGCATAGAAGACAGCAGCACACAACTGAACAATGCATCCAGTTTGGTTCTAACATCCAATCTATAGTGGTTCACGAAAGTCATAGGTTGGGACCAAGATGCAGCCTTGCAAAACGTAATATAACCGGACCGCTTCCAAAAAGGTCACAAAGTCTGCCATAGGCTGAGTCTTGAACTGAATCTGTTCTGGTGGAATGTTGTTTCTTTGGGGGTGGTCGTCTGACTACCTCAATTTTTAAAGATGTTGTCATCCCCAACATCATATCCGAGTAATTATGGATATCACCAGAAGGAGACAAGGCATTAGTATTTCCAACATCTGCTTCAGGAGAGGTTAGATAGATGAAGACTCTTTATCAACCTTGATATTAGAAGAGTCTGTCAGTGCGATTGGGACCAGCATGCTCTTTCTCTGTTTCCTTTTGGGAACAAATAAATGCTCAGGTCTTTAGCTTTGGCTGGTACCAACTCATTACTCAAGGTGGATTTCATTGTTTTCAAGCCCAAACTCTTGTGTTCTGACCTACCTTTAGTAGTTGATTCTGAATGACCTTTCCTTAGTTTCAAAGTTTTCACTTGACCAAGGGATACAGCTTTTTGTTCAAGACCCACAAACTTTTTGTTTTGTTATTTTAAAAAAAAACACCTCGTTTGCCTCTTGATGTTGAGGCATTTTGGTATTGGAATCAACAGGGTCAGTCTTCTCCTTATTCTTTATAACCTCTCGATGCCAATCAACACTTGGTTTCAAAGATTGGGACTGACTTCAGTATCAATGCAAGAGAAGGAGACCTGGGGGTTGATGGTTTTCTCGAGATCAAAGAGTTGGATGCCTAAAGAGGTTTTGGAATAACTCCCAAGCCTAGCACTTATCATAATGTGCTGTTGATTGATGCCAGTCTGCTCCCACATAGAATGGGGGGGGGAGGAGACAAAAAGGATTGAACTCTCTCTAGAAGGAAACCTTGAATTTCTCCACTTAGTTGTGGCTCTCATTTTGTTTGTCTTGAAATTGAATAGGACAGATGCTTTGAGACTTGAAGTTGTCTGGATCCTGATTGATGGCTGGTTTCGGTAACAATTTTGTCCAAGTCCCATGAACTGGTGAGGTGTCATGTTGATGAAGAAGTGTAAGCATCACTTTGTAGGGCCTTCTTCTTCAGACATTGATTCCAGTGTCTGCAATGTCTCTTGAGCCTGACATATGCAGAAGTGGTGAGGGGCAAGGTACCACTGATGATAGCCATTTCTTGTATTTCCCTTTTATTTTCCTAGGTTTTGAAACCACAAACTCTGTGGTCTTCTTTCTATACCAAAGATGATGGTGACAATGTTTTCAGTGACTTCAAAACTAATTGTTGTGTTTATGTTAAGTATGATTCTGAAACCGAATCCGGTAGCTTGGTATTGAGTTTGGCTTGTATTGAGTTTGTCTCACTGAGTAGGCCTGGTCTTCCTTAGTAACTGCCTCCTTCACAGTAGTTCTAAACGGGGATTTACAGATGGTTGTAAGCCTGTTCTTTAGTTATGTTATTAATGGCCTTAGGTGACTACTTCTATAGGAAAAGACTTCATATCAACAGATTTTTCTTAAGGGCAGCTTTGCTGAAGTTTTGACAGATTTTACAATTGAGGTCTCGTGACCCTCGCCTGGATAATAGAGCCACTTCTTGTGGCTGTCACTTAGCTGTATCTTGCTGTCACACAATGTTTCTGGTCAAAAATAGTCTAATTATATCAACATTTTAATTTGTTTTTAATTTTATCAACATTTCATATATGTCCATAATTTTAAATGTGCAACACACTGATACAAATAAAAAGAAAAAAGTGGGCAGGGATGCAGCCACTGTTACCAAGTAGCAACATTTGCTTTGGCAGCAAAGAAGATACAGTATGTGCCAAGTTATCAAAAGTCTTAAGGAAGAGAGAGGCTATGTCACTTTACATTTGTGTAAATATGTGATGTCAGTGCCACATATGTTTTATGTTGCTGTTGATATATGGTCATCACCTATGGTTTTAAGCAATAAAGCTTATACAAATAGTCAAATATGATTATGACTGGAAATCAATTTTTTGCTCTTTGGGGATAAAATTCTCCCTCTGTGTATGTTCTGTGCCATCAAGTCAGAAGTGACTTAACAGTGACTATAATAGGGTATTCAAGGTAAGTGAGGTAATTAAGGAGTGATTTTACCGGTTCTACTCCCCCAGTGAGTTTCCATGGCCAAGTGGGGATTTGAACCCTGTTCTCCAGAGTCCTAGTCCACCACTCTATCCACTATACCACAGTGGGAATCCAGTATAGAGAAATACAATAATATTTGCTAAGTAATTTTAATCAGAATTTCAAAAAATGTTTATTCAATTTGAGCAAATTCATCAGGCTGCCATTAAATTACACCAATATGCAGATTAATACATTACTCAGTTGTAACAAAAAGAAAAGATACATTCTACACTTACAAAGTAACATTTATAGGAAAGAATTCAGATCCAAATATTTGAATGTTCTTCTAGCCAGATAAAGAGATATAAAAGCCTCATAAAACAACTTCCTTGCAAAAAGAAAAACAAAAACCCTGCTGAAGTACTGAAGCATATAATAAATGCATCAGGACAAAGAAGGTTAATAAATTCTTATACAAATTACATTACCTGTTTAGTTTCCCTTCTTATAAAGGCACTTCGTATACAGCTAAAACTGGTTAACAATACATCTGTTACCCTCTTTTACAACCATTGTATTTCAAGTTTCCCATAAAACACTTGATACAAATATTATTAGTGCATTTTTTCTGTATTAATATGTTATGTATTGCTTTTTCTAAAATTAAAAAAGTTCTGGAAAAAATACTGAGTTTACACACTAGTTCAGTATCGGCCAGACGACAAGATGCCTGAGGGCAACAACAGTTCAATTCCGTTTCCTTGCATATACATGGTCTTGTCAGAAGTGGGCTTGCAGTCTTTTATTTTCCTCACGCAACCTCTCGATTTCAGCTACTAAGCTGTCATTTACAGAGTACTTTTCAAGTAAGGCATGCATTTCATTCTAGAGGGGGGAAAGGAGTTAAAAAGTTATTTGAGAAAAGTTGTCTTTTCGAATAGGGTTTGCAGTGTGGTTCTTTTGTGTAGTTTTATTGCCATATGTGGGAGTGGCTTCTCCGTTCTCTCCAATTCTTAACTGTTAGAGCAGTATGACAATGGAACTAATTACCTCAGGAGGTGGTGAGCACTCCATCACTGGAGGCATTTGGAAGAAAACTGGTCAACCATTTATTGGATCTGCGTTGATTTGGATTCCTGCAATGAGCAGGGGGTTGGATTCAATGGCCTTATAAGCCCCTTCGAACTCAATTATTCTGATTCCATGTCAGAATCTGAATTGAAAGTGGAGACGGAATGTTATCAGGTGGAGAGCATTCATCCTGAGTGATCTAAGAGGCTTTAAACCCCAATGAGCTAAAGGTTCTATCCAGTTTAATTTTGTTTGTTTTACAATGTCCTTTCTGTGCCAACCAGAAAGATGGTAAGGAGGAGATTTGTTAGATGAGAGACTACAAGAGAAAGGAGAGACACTGGGATAAAAACTGTAAAGGACTAGGGGGATTTAGGGCATTTTAGCTGTGAGGAAAATGCCCTTGTGAGATCTGAGCAAAACCCCATTTCTTTCGAAAACTCTTAGAGATTGTCAACAAGCATTCACCAATAACCCCTGAATGTTAGTAATTAAACTTCCATTTCGAAAACATTACACTGTTAACAATTTAATTGACTATCTCAGGCAGTGTTATTTAACCACCACTAAAGCCTAAATTTATGCTTGAGCCCAAAGTACCAGGCTAAAAAAAAGATTTTAAAATATTGGTGGCAGCCAACTATGAACTTCAACTTTGTCAGAAGACACTGCAATTAATCCACTGAAGAAAGGAATGGACAGGCTTGGAAAACCAGTAGCCAATAACAAGAATACAACACTAACACCTGAATCATTACTTTTTCCAGTAAGGCAATCTATTTCCCTTTCACCCCAGTGTGTAATATTACTTCCTCAGTTCACATAATACTTCCACATGCCCAGTTTGAAAATAGAATGCAAGTTTTACTTTGCACTGTGCCTTAGGCTTGAAAAGGTACAATCCCTTAACAGACTGATTGCCTCCATATCATTATATATATTTTAGATTCTTTAGAAGACTGAGCACTGTACAGCTCAGGAAGGGATTTTATTTGAAACACTTTTTATAACATGCACACACATCTTTATATTTTTATACATACCAGCTGCACATGAAACTGTTTGATCATCTCCACTTGCAAATTCACAATGTCGCGATGGCAGGCTTCCCTAAGGGAACAAAAGACATGCACCTTCAATTCATGAATACAGCTCTAGACTTATCTGTCAAGTTCTTAGAGGAACCATAAGGTAATTTCAAAATGCTAGACTCTCAGCATAGTCTATACTGCATGCTACCCTACATCTTACAATTCAGTGATAAAACTTATCTTTATTGGACCCTACTAAGGCTACGAAGTTTTGAAGAAGAACATAGGTTCTTGTCTTTATTAATCTCGTTCCATTAACTTCAATCCATTTTCTATAGCAGATCTGGAATAAATCATCTGAGGTAAAATGTTTGTCATAGACTCTGACGAACGGAATGCTGATAAAGGCTTTGTTGGAAAGATACACCTCAACATCCAGCAGAGCAACAGTTTTCATTCTCATCTCCATTTTGAAGCATCACACTGCTCTTTCTCACCAACAAAGCAGCATTTACAGGAGCAAGTGGTAGAGGACCATGAAGTCCAAAGAGGTAAGTTATCTCTCCTGCTTCCACTTTGCCCATAACTTACTCCAGTCCCACTTTGCAGAAGAAAATTAGGGGCATACACCCTGCCCTGTGCTGCCAGGTCAAGACAGAATCTTCTGATAAGGTTATAAGCTAAAGAAAGCTTACAATAAGAATGTTAATAGGTAGAAACCAAGCAGAAAAATCCGATGAAACTCCAAGAAGTGTTAGCCGTGCATTGTTTCAGGTTCCTGGAAATTCAATACACCAAAACAAGTGTTTAATATACTGATAACTATTTCTAACAAATCTGGAAGTTGAGTCATGACAATTGGACTTCTTTAACTGGACTGAGAATCTTCGCAGATATTTTTAACAGATCTTTTTTAAAAATAAACTGAGAAATGTAACTGTTCCAGAAACAGAGCTATACATATTCCAGGTAATATTCTTCATTTACAATAAAGGCTTCATATTATATGTTTACAAACGTAATTGTAGAATTTTACTGTGTGGTAGAGTAAATTTACTGATTTAAAGGCATCCCAAGTAATTGTTTTTAATCTGCTGTTGCGTTTTCAAAATACAGAAGAACATTTTGAACAACTCATTCATATGACTTTTCTGAGCTAATTTACCTATTTCTATTAATCTTAATTCTGACGGGATATGAATACATAATTTGGGACATTTTGCACAAAAATGAAGCAAGCTGAGTAGGAGATAGGAAAAGAATAGTGAGCACACAAAGCATGTTACTCCTCCCTTGCAAGAGACCCTTTACCAAAAATTCACATTGTTTTTTTTGAACAAGTTTAAAGAGGCATTTGAGAGTTCAACAGGAGTATCTGAGATAGAGGCTTGCGAAACAGGGGGAATGCAGCGACTATGCATTACAGTGCCTAATGTAGAGAACTGTAATGCTTAAGTTACCAGACCAAAAGGAATTAATTGCTGCTTCCCATTCTTGCACATTCATCTGCTTTCACAAGTAAATTATGCTATATACAGAAGCCAAGTAAACACAAGGAACAGCCCAGTCTGTGTATAATAGAAATCCAATTACCAACCAAAACGCCATGTTCATCTACCAACCAAAGCGTCAATTTAAAATTATAAGCCACTAAATTATGAATGTTCATACAAAATAAAAAGCTGATAAAAATACAGTCAGTGTCTATATAACTCGATTCACCTGAAGTCATCCAGAGTTTCTTGTATCATGTTCTGAATGAAATGAATTTGAACTGAAGATAAAGGTGCATTCAATCTGCTGCTTCCAACAGCATCTACTATTTTTTCCGATAGTGAGCTGGCAACTCCAGCAGTCGCAGCAGAAGTTATCTTTGGACCTAAGCAAAACAATACAGGAACAGGAATATTTCATTTTAACTGGAACAAGGAGAACACCACAGCACAGTTCTGTTATTTCATATCACTGCATATGCTTACAATATGAAAAGTAACAGTCAAGAATTTCATTTCCTCATCTTAATTAAGAATTTAGCATGCAGGTTTAAGAATTAAAAGTGAATTCATACTGACTAAAGAATAATCTTGGAAAATTATACTAATTTGTGATGAGCAATATGCAGGACCAGCATTAGAAATGGAAAAATCTTGGGAAATTATACTAACTTGTGAGGAGCAATATGCAGGACCAGCATTAGAAATGCTAAGTTATATCACACATCCCTTCACAAATACATGATTAGCATTGGATTCTAATAAAGCCAGTTATTTTGTGTATATAGATAAAAACATATTTCAGTTAATTACACTCAAGTTCATCTAGCATCTTTCAGTTAATTACACTCAAGTTCATCTAGGATTTAATGTCCCTAGCTAGTTTATTATATTTCATAAGGGAAAAAGTGTGATTTATACTGACTTGGCGAGGTAGTTCCATTTAGCGGTGATTCATATGTCAGGTGGGCCTGGAGATTCTTAAGCCTCTCTCGAGAGTCAGGACTCCTGACTACGCTGACCAGTGGTGGAGAATTCAGGTTTCCAGAATCTGAGCTTGAAGAGCTCAACTTTGAGAAGGGAGAAAATATGTAACATTAGAGCTCCATAATGTCAAAAAGAAGAAAGGGTTAAGGTAGTATAACGAATGATGGGCTTGGCTGACAACCTGGTTCCAACAAGGCACACTTTTCTGGTGTACTTATAGATCTGTGGTAGTGGTGGGGAACTCTTTTCAAACCTCTTTGAACAACCAAGCTCCTTGACTATCTGGTAACAACAAAAAATCAGCAACAGAGGAAATCCTAGACAACCAAGCTCCATGACTATCTGGTAACAAAAAATCAGCAACAGAGGAAATCCTAATACAGCAATACAGTTCCAGGGAGCAACATGTACATTAAAACCCTTTATTCAGACTGTCAGTGACATTGGGTTAAAGATGAAGGCAGCAGTCTAAACATTATATTCATGCTATAACTTCTCAAAAACACCCTATGACAATTAATTCAATGTGGTACCATTTGGCACAACAGAACTGATGAGAAAGGCTGCTAAGTCCTCTAAGCAAAGGGACTCCACAAATGCTAAACTTCTTTGGTCAAGAATGACCATCTCAGTTATAAGGCTTAGACAGAATTTTCCTGTCACCATTCCACATAGACCCTGTGGCTGTAAGTAACATGAAGACTCATTTGAACATCAGTCAAATGAGTGTGAAGTTCCTACAGCAAAGATGGCCAACTTCATTCTGACCTCTGGGATTATTTGGAGATCACATTACCATCAAAAATGTCCTCCTTAAAAAAACCACTGTGTAAATCTGGAAGGTATTTTTTTTCTTTGAAAAACTGCAAAGAGTACTATTTTCCTTCTTAGCAACTACATGGCAGTTCTTTCAACTGCTTAAAGGACAATGGGTGTAATTTTCTTATCTTACTCAATTTTATTTTGAAAGTGGTCAGTTAATATTCCCACACTTGAAATATTCCAAGGCTAAGTAACTATGCAACTCTTGTATAGGGCTGAAATCTGAGGGCACAAGGGGAAGATTTGCCTGCCCAGATGCAAATAGTGCAGAATAACCCTCCACAGAAAATTCTAGGGCTCCATCTGAGAATCCCTGCTGTGCATTTAAGGATGGAAACAGGGCTTTAATTACAGCAAGAAGTTTGCCTATAATTGCTAAATGATTTCAAGAGGTTTGGTTTACTCTCAAATGACAATTTAGTCAAATGGTGCTATTACCATTACTGCAAAGGGAATTTGTGGGCAAATATGCTGTCCCATATTGTATATATTCCCTGCCTTCATTCCAGGATGTTAATTCTTCAGATACAAAAAAAGACCTGTAATTAGCCTTTGGAGTAAGATGCCAATCAAGACATTGATTGGATTCAGCATTCCAAGTTCTCACTGTGGTATCCCCTTTTTGAAAAGAATACATGTACCTCCTGGAGCCTGGTATCTTATTAGTGGACTATTAGGGAAGGCACTGATTAAACTACATTTTCAAACAACGCTTTCTGCATGCCTTGAGGGCAGATTGTGCCATGTCCCCATGGAATAGTCCCTCTACCCCAGTGACCAAGGACAAATGGAAGACCCTAAATAGTACATCCTATGTTATCCCTTTAAGGAAGAAATTTCTTTATGTTAGACAACATGTGGTCCTTTTCACTTTGCTTTCTTTTAAAATCAAGAAGAGTATTATTTCTGCTAGACATCTGGCTAAATTATATTATCAGGCTGATCTTTAGTCTTTGAATATTTCTATTAAAATTGTAACTACAGTAGGACATCCCCCCATCTGTGGGATTAGTATCCACAGATTCACTTATCCACACCTAAAAATATTAAATAAAAACCCCAGAAATTCATATTTATATGCATTGCAATGGTGTATTTACCAGAACTGACCACTAGAGGGAGGCGAAGACATATTACATTGTATACGCTATGTATAACGTTTGCCACTTGCACATTTTTGGCACTGGGGAGGGTTTAAACTGATTCCTAAGGATATTGCAGTCCTACTGTATTATCAAGTATTCTGTATTATATCATCTTATAGGTTTATCTATTTCATGTAACAATGTTTAGGTCCAAAGCATAATTTGTTATGATCTGTGGTTAACAAACTTGCGTATTTAGGTAATCAGTTAAAGCCAGTGGGACTTCCATCATGATTCACCTTCTTAAACTGATTTCTATGGCACCTAAATGTACATACTGTACATAATCTGAACTGAAACCATTATGTCTGCACCAGCATTTTTACTAACCTTGATTAGTTCAAAATCAACATGCTGGGCTTTTTCACACATGAAAGCCACGGTTTGGAACTAAACAAGTTTAGTGAGAACGCTGGCCAATCAGTAACACTAACAATGCTTACCTCCAGAATGAAAGTGAAACTGACATGAAACCAGGGCATACCAGATCTCGTAATCACAACTAGGAAACTAAAGCACATGCAAAGCAATCTCTCTTAAGAGGCACTATTATATAACACATGTGATATTCTATGGAGTGAAGAGAAAGTAAGTAATAAAGATAGCTATCCTAACTGCATGGGACTGTAGCTTACTGTACCAATTTGAGATGTTCTCTTGTCTCTTGCTTTCCATGATTTGCCTTTTTAGCATTAATATCTGGATTCTCCTCCTCCTCTTTAATAGGTGAGCCAACAAAGACGTTAAGTGGACTAGAGTGCATTATGTGTGAGCTAGGATTTTTTCTTGCAGGTATTGTTGGGTTGAAATGGGAGAGAAAATCCAAACTTGAAAGATAAGGCTGAAAATCCATGCCTAGAATGCAGAGCAAAATCATATATGTGTTTAGTTTTGTTACCTACATTAGAAATGTTACTTGAGAAACAGATTTAGCATGCACCCTGTGGCAGTGATTACCCACCACCACCGTTCTTTTTAAATAATTTGATTTATTACCACTTATACGCCTGCACTATACCCAATGCAATTGCTTTGATTACTACCATAATAAAAACATATTATAAAAATGCTTACCATCACTCTTTCCTGGAACATCTTCACTTGTTTTACAAGCTGCAACATCTACAAGACATCAGAGAAATAAATATTGACTATAAAAGGGAAAAAATCCTACACAGGTGGAACCTAAGTCACAGCTCTATCTGATCATTTGTTCAAGAAACACAATTGCTGTTTAAGCTTTCAATACATAAAGGCAAAGCCTTGGGATTACAATTCCAAAGGCTGCTGCTAGTTATTTTAAGAAAAATCCTCTTAATCTAGTTACAATAATTCTGAAGAACAGATTTACTATATGCTCCACACCATGGGCATAACTGCAAGCATTAAATGACTCAACTGCAAGACAGGAGATTTAAGTTTTAAGCCAATGGGCAAACTACTAACTAGTAAATCTACTGCTCGGTGCAACTTACCATCCCGAAGAGGAGAGAACAAATCACCCAAACTATTTCTGCCCAAATCATCAAAATTAGTCAGATTAGAAGTATTCCCGTGATCAATTTCTTTGGAAGGAATTACATCCAAACTGCTGCTGCGTGGGAATCCTAGAAGAATAGCACATCAACTTTCTTGAATAAAAGAGCTGTTTTAATGACAATTCAGCTTTTATCATCCAGTCTTCAATTCTACACAAGCACTTCCCATTTCTAAAAGGAAGCTAAAATTGGTCCACTGAAGAATGAAGCAAGGCCAACAAATATGAGATAAGCACTTGTGATGGTCACAATTTTCAGCCCTTCCCACTAGAAAATATACTCCAGAGAATTTTTCTGCCCTCCAGTCCAAAAGGTTTTGAGATGCATGAGGTTGTAGCGGAGAGAGAGGATTGTTCCAGATCCCACTCTTACATGAGCGGAGGTCCAATGATAGCACAAGCTACTCATTTTATCATTGGGGTGGCCACTAATAAAATACCAGTATACAGTGGTGCCTCGCTTAACGATTGCCTCGTTAAACGACGAAACCACTATCTGATTATCGCTTTTGCGATTGCAAAATGATGTTTTAATAGGCAAAATTCGCTTCGCGATGATTGGTTCCCTGCTTCGGGAACCGATTCTTCACATTACAACGTTTTTAAAACAGCTGATCGGCTGCTTCAAAATGGCCACCCACTGTGTAAAATGGCTCCCCGCTGTGTTTTTGGATGGATTCCTCGCTTTACAAGCACCAAAAATGGCCGCCCCTATGGAGGATCTTTGCTGGACGGGGAGTTTTTCAGCCCATTGGAACGCATTGAACGGGTTTTCAATGTGTTTCAATTGGATTTTTTATTTCGCTTAACAAGGATTTCACTCCACAGCGATTTCGCTGGAACGGATTATCCTTGTTAAGCGAGGCACCACTGTAGTTAGAAACATGTTCCACTGAAATCAGTAGGATTTACAAATGAGAAAACATAATAAGGACTGAGATTCAAGTAACAGCCATAACTATTATCAAGAATAATTTGACCAAAAATTTAGATTGATTGAACCTGTTGTCTAATATCAATTGTGTAGACTTCTACCTATCAATGAAGATCACTCCAATCTCCCATACTGCTGGTAGGCTATCATCCCTTAAGCTGAATGCCAGGATCAACTAGCAAGAGGACTATTTGATACTAAATGCATTTGACAGAAAATTTTCACACATTCTTTTCACAGGGAAATGAGTAAGTAGGTGTTAAAAGCTATTTCTATTCTATGGAACAGATTATGTTGTCTCCTTAGATTTACTTAGAATTAATCATATAAGTCTTAACTGAATGTTATGCATAAAAAAAAGAATCAAAATATATAAATGGCTGGAGGGGATGTGGAAACAGAGGGTCTCCCCATCCTCCTTTGACTGAATGCCCAGTAGCCTCAATCTTTTGATGTCCCCAAAATTATAAAAATCACAGGGCAAATGCTACAAAAGAAGAAGAGGAGGAGGAGGAGGAGAAAGAGGAGGAGGAGGAGGAGATCCTTTTGCTTATATCGATAGTTGCAGGGATCAACTCTTCAGCACTCCACAAGGACCTGACTTTTACTAGCCACAGCCAGACTAGAGTTTACTTGGTGCTCAAAAGTCTGGACGATCTAAGCGTTTTGAACTGGCTGGATACAACTTGGTGAGTGGCTCTTTCAGAAAAAAAAAGTTTCATAAATTGAGAGTATCTAAAGGTTTAGCGTCAACATACAAATGTATTAAGACTTGATTGCCCTTTATTGAGTACACAAGCAGTTTGAAACTCACAGTTCCAATGACCAGTGCCCTGTGATCTGAAATTCTGGAGAGAATTTTTAGCCCTTTTTAAAACTGTTGCACTTACTAGAAATTGGCAACTACATTGGACACTTTAATGTACAGTATTTGCGGTCTAGCTAGAAGTGGGTTGCTGTATTTCTGATTTATTTAAATAAAATATTGTGTTTAATTTTTTGAAAAAAATCAATGTAGAAAAATGTAGAAAAGCATTTAGATTTTCAAAACTATAAAGAAGCAAAAACATGATTTTCAACATAAAACATAGGTGAACCTAGTTGTAAAGTATCTGATGGTCTGCAGTCCATGAAAGGTTATTTGAACTAAAACTTCTGGGTCTTTAAGAAGTCATTAAAACTGTGCTATAGCACATTGAAATGGCTGCTCTGCTGTGTATTGCCAACCTATACCACCATCCCTTTACAAGTTACCTAAAACTTGGTTTTCAACATTATTTCACCATTTGCTTAATGAGCTAAGAAATCCAAAAACTACCAAAATCCAAAAAATCAACCATGATAAACTATCACATGGCTTAAGATTTTCTGCTCTTTTGAAACCTTGCCTGATATAACAGTGCAGCAAGCAGCTTAGGTGAAGGAGCATAACTAATGCCACCACTGGCAAGCCATTCCAGAAGATGACTTATAGAAGTCCCTGCAACCACAACCACACATGTGGGAAAGTGCTTCATCAGCGACTTACAGGCCAGCCTCACTATCCTTGCTTTGAGCAGAACACCACCACAACTAATGGCGTGCCGATGCCTCTGTTTGGGAAATGAACAAACAGGTTTTCAACAAGCGAATATATTCAGTGCAGCAAATGAGATATCCTCCAATAATAACCATCAAAAACAGTCCGTAGGTCGAGAATCCAACAAGAGACAGGCCATTAGAAAAAAACGCGGGAGAAAAGACAATACAAATCACAACAAAAATCAAAAAAGAAAACGTTTCGATTAAAGGTGAAGTAAAAAAAGATATCCAAGGGGCAACAATCAAAGAGAAATACCCGTAGTCAGCAAAATCCAAAGTCAAATAACCGTAAGAAAAGAATTTTTTTTAGCTCTAGCAGAAGTTCCGAATGCAATGGCGGCAAAAATGGAACTGAGGCTTGAGGCGGGCGGAGCATGCGCTATAGGGGCAACATTCAGTTAATGTTTTTTGCTTTAAAGCTCTAGAATATTCTGAAGAGTCCAGCGCAGGCGTGGACAAAACCCAGTTGTGTGTATTCACAGAGGCCACGAAGAAGAATTGCCTATTACGTAAATATCAATCAATCAGTTTTTAAATATATTTTCACTCTGCATCTCTCACACACCCCTATTTTACAGTTTTCATAAGGTCACCATTCTTTTTACCTGATTTATCCTGAATAGCATCAGGCCCTTTAATTTCAGCTAGAGGGACCGATAGGGGCAATGATACAGCAGATACATTAGGAGCAAGGTTTTTGACCATGCCAACATTTTGAGTTCCTCCAGTGTTAATTGTTGCCTTGGTATCAAATCTCTTGGAAACCTGCTTATTTGAGGAGGTTTTAAGACTAGACTGAAACAGAAATAAATTTATCAGAAGTGTTACATTCTAAATGAAAACAGCAAAAAATAAAAAATTAAACAGTATTCCCCACCCCCATGGATAATACCGATCAGAATCCAGTACCAAGAACACACTGAACACATTTTTAAAGTATTTAATAAAAATATTACAACACTTAAACAAATGTATTCCATCTACACAAACAGCATGCCATCAAGTTCTGAGAATTTATCTTTTCCGCAATGGGTGAAAACTCTGTAATTTAACTGTAGCTACAAAAACACATTACAAAGTTTGACATTTATGTTCAGCGGCAGATACTCCAACCCACTGAGCCACTCCATAATTAGGTACACTTATCTTTTTAACCCAGATTTGAGCGGTAAATATGCCAGATTGCTTACCTTGGAAAAGGTATTACAGTACTGCAGCGCTATGCACTTCACAGAGGTTTTGTGAGCACTGACTGATTTTACAGGTGCTGTCAGTTTTCTTAGGTCGTAGTGATATATTTTTCCACGGGAAGATCCAATTGCTAAGGAAGTTCCTTCAGGCATGAATTCTACAGCAGTTAGAGGAGCTTCTGCTGCTAAAGTCCTCAACTGCCTTTATGATATGCAGGAGGAAAAGAAAGATAAAGAGGACAATATAACGCTGCACAGCCTTTCCAAATTATGTTGTGCAAACATTCCAACATTCGCTTCTCATCATGATAGTATATAAATCAAGCAAGCAAGCAACCACAAAATGTACCAGACTGTTTGTAAGAATACACTAGAAACCATTTTCACAAAAGCAAATCTTGTGGCATACCGACATTCCAGATGAAATAATTTTTATAAATAAATGTCAAATGGTCTAATGCATTTATCTCACTCAAAGGAGAAAAATTAAGAACTGATTTCAGTACCATTTTGTTGTTTGCTGATAAATAGCATGTTGTAAATTTCTGATTTTATGCTATCACAGAAATGTAATACATAAATTTTATAAATAAATATTCTGACAAGTGGAAATTTACCTTTTACTTGAGGTGTCATAGAGAATGATTCTTTTATCAAGACCAATGGTTACAAGTAGCAGCTCACTGATGGGAGAAAAACAGATTTCATAGGCTGGGGCTTTATGGGCGTTTTCAAAGTTATGATATGGTGTTTGACTGTTAGCATCCCACAATGTTACAGTTCCACTGTCAGACACACTGCCTAATAGTGCCTTCTTAAATGGTGAATATTTCAAGTGCCGAATGGGCTATAAGGGAAAAAAAACATTATGTACATTACAGCACATCACAACTTCTATAAGTATATGAATAGGATCCAAGCTGTATGTTGACCCACTGAATTCAGTAATTTTAAATCATGATCACCTTATGTCCTGTCAATTCCAATGACACTTAAGAACGATTACTATAGTCTGGATCCAGGCTATAGTAATCCTATAAAACAGTAGGATTATTGGTCATCACTAAGATTTTTTTTCATCAATGCCGTCAATCATATCCAGTTGTCCCCAACCTTTTTAACTCCACAGATTGGTTGGGGAAGGCGGGGCACCCCCGCCATGCTCGTGTGCATAGGTGTAAAGGAGCAGGGGCGCGCTCATGAGGGCATGCACACTCACACGCATGCATGAAGGAGTGGGGCAGTGCTCACACGGGTGCGGACACACACATGTATGCACAAAGGGCAGGAGTGCTGGGGGGCACTCACAAAGGGGTGGGGGCGCTCATACACGCGCATGCACAAAGGGGCTGTGCGGAGGGTGGGAGGGCGTGCGGTGGTCGGTGGGAGATCTGTCTGTGTGGCCCAGGCCACAAACCAGCACCGGGCTGCGGACCGGGAGTTGGGGACCCCCGATATAGCTTACAGAGGATGTGACACCGGGCAGCTTGGAATGTGCGTGGAATACTAAGATTTTGCTACACTGTTTCTGTTAAGATTAGCCTTTAAGTAGTGAATTCTCAGGAATGCTGGTTTTTAATTTACAGAGGAGCTGGGGTCCCCTGATATAGCTTACAGAGGATGTAACACCGGGCACCTTGGTTTTTAATTTACAGGTTTTAACATGTTTTATAAATTGTTTTTATCCTTGATTATTTTAATCTTAATCTCTGTAAAATAGTATTTTTAAAAGTGTTATTCTTGATTACTCGATATCCCAACTGATCAGGGATCACACCCCCAGCAACTCATGGAGGACAGTGTCCAGTCACACCACAGAACAAATTGGACGCAATATCCACTAGTTGGAAACATAAAAAGTAACACCCGAAAATCCTTTAAGTTCATGTCAGCGTTGATAGCATATCTTTATTACAAGAGAAGCCATTTCACGTGTTTAGTCAGCAAGTCTGCCATCTAAGCCTTACTGGAGTGACACGCAATTAAAATTTAACAACTTTTTCAAGCTAGTTGTTTCTGCAGTAACAATGGAAACTTTTGAATCCTGACAGAGTGCCAAGCTTAATGTCTGTAAAGTTAAGAGTTTTCAAGATTAAAGCCGCGATTCAACAAAATACTTTAGACCTGTAATTGATGGAATAATGGGCTGTGTTCCACGAGGCTCTGAATAACTGTCCTGATTTCAAATTCATAAAAAAAAATTCAGTACAGTCCTTACAGAGTCCTTCATATGTCAAAAACTGAGTATGCTCTGTGCACACATCTTTTTTTAAAAAAGCACATAAAGTGTGCAAAACGGTTGAAGAACAGGCAGTGATGTACAAATTGTAATAACTCTTCCTTCTTCTCCACCCAGCCTCATGGCCTGATCTTTATAACTGAAGGATAATAATATGCATCATTGAAAGAGTAGCCACAGCTTCCTTACATCTTCATGCGAGGCGAACGTGAGCAAATGTTACAGCCAAATTAGGGGATCTAAATGCCAGCCATTTGCACTTCAGTAATAAATTCAAATAGAGAGAGTTGTATAACAAAGAACAAGAGGCTTGGAAAACTAACTTTAACCTGAAACTACACGTTCCATCTTCTTGTTGTCTCATTTACTTTATTATAAGGGTCAAAGGCAGAGTCCCGGTCAACTAGAACTGACTATTTTATTTCTCTTCTAGTCTTATTGGATCCTTATTATTCAAGGTTTTTAGGTCCTAGCTCCTTTAATCCTGTGCCTCTATTTGATCTTTCAATTCTTCTGTCCCACACTGCAGGAAAGTAAATGATTCACTCAGAAAAAAAAGAGACTTATATCGTAACCTTTACTGGTTCTGTTGTACGCCATGCACAGAAAGTCTTCCAGAGTGAGTCACACCATATTACATCTCTGTCAAATGAACAGTAGATCTTTACATTTCATTTTTTTTATTCCTCAGGAGCTATTCAGTCCTCTCACAGCACCAGCAAAGTTACACATGCAGAATAAACAGCAAACAGGACAAAAATACAGTAATAGAGTACAGACAGAAAACACCTGTCAATGGAAACCCAGCTGAAGTCTTTCACCGCCTTATCACTGCAGCTCAGATCCACCTTCCCTGCTTCAGTCTCTGAATGACTGCACTTTATCCATCAATAACTGTCAGAGGCAGTTTCCCAAATAACCCACACATAAAGCACAGCTATGGCAGCTTTATTAGTTCTGCTATGAAGTGGCTTTTTAAAAAAGAGCACACTGACTATTAAGAAGTATGCATCAATATAACTGATAACAGTGAATCAAAAATACCAGCCCTTTTGTAAACTGGGCTTTTGCTTCTAATGAATACGATGCTGCTGCTACAAGTCTTCTGTAGTACCGCCATACTTGCTTGAACCTCAAAAAGAAAGACCAAGCCTCTTTGTATAAAATACAAAAACTTGGGATGTTCATCATTAGCATGGAAAACCTTTTCTTGCTAAAGAATTGCTATGACCAAGGCATGCCAGTAAAAAACTATTAAAAGAATGAGTAAGAAGAGCTGTAATTAATGCCCTATGTTTACAGAAATAAATGTATAAAAATCTCATACAGTATATGAGATGACAAATTCCCCATGTTTAGGGTGGGATTTTAGAGGTGAGTATGGTCTACGTCCATGGAGTTTTCTTGGCAAAGATACTGGACTGGCTTGCCAGTTCCTGCTCTAGGTGGATTGCGTTTAGTCAGAACTCTGAACTACGACCTGTCCCTCTTGGGTGTCCCTGCACGGCACAGCCCATAGCTTCTCTGAATTTGTCAAGCACCTTTGCCACGACAAGGGAGCAATCTGTGAATACATCATGCGAAATACTGGACTGGATAAATCCCAAGCCAGAATTAGGACTGCCAGAAGAAATATGCAGATGATACCACTCTGATGGCAGAAAGTGAGGAGGAATTAAAGAACCTCTTAATGAGGAGAGCGCAAAAATGGTCTGAAGTTCAACATCAAAAAACTAAGATCATGGCCACTGGTCCCATCACCTCCTAGCAAATAGAAGGGGAAGATACGGAGGCAGTGACAGATTTTACTTTCTTGAGCTCCATGATCTCTGCAGATGGTGACAGCACCCACAAAATTAAAAGACTCCTGCTTCTTGGGAGGAAAGCGATAAGAAAGCTAGATAGCATCTTAAAATGCTGAGAAATCACCTTTCCGACAAAAGTCCACATAGTCAAAGCTATAGTTTTCCCAGTAGTGTTGTATGGAAGTGAGAGCTGGACCATAAAGAAGGCTGACCGCCAAAGAATTGATGCTTTTGAATTGTGGTGCTGGAGGAGACTCTTGAGAGTCCCTTGGACTGCAAGGAGAACAAACCTATCCATTCTAAAGGAAATCAGCCCTGAGTGCTCACTGGAAGGACAGATCCTGAAGCTGAGGTTCCAATACTTTGGCCATCTCATGAGAAGAGAAGACTCCCTGGAAAAGTGTTGGGAAAGTGTGAAGGAAAGAGAAGAAGGGGATGACAGAGGATGAGATGGTTGGACAGTGTCATCGAAGCTACCAACATGAATTTGACCAAACTTCGGGAGGCAGTGGAAGACAGGAGGGCCTGGCGTGCTCTGGTCCATGGGGTCACGAAGACTCGGACATGACTTAACGACTAAACAACAATAACGACCCCTCGCACTTGTGCTCTCCAACGCACGCGCAAAGTGGTTGGGGAAGTGGTTCCCCCACTGCTTTGAACATGCGCAGGAGCGTCTGCCCACCCACCCACACACCCCACCCCTGCGCGCGGGCACATGCTTGAAGGGGTGAGGGAGTGTTGGAAAGTCAAGCCAGACCTACCAGTCGAGTGGTCTTTGAATGACAGTGGTTTTTAACACAAAATTTTCCCAATTTTTTTCACTTTGACTTTCATAATGTAATATATTAAAAGGGGATGGAGTCAAAATTGGGCAAGGGGAAATGAAGTGACTATGTTGCTATATATTAAATGAAAAAAAATCAGTAAAATTCTGACCATCTTCCAGTGCAAGTCTATCTGAGCCCAAGAGATAGAAAAAGAAGTAGGTTAAGCAATCAGTTACATCAGTACAGTGGTGCCTCGCTTAATGACGATAATCCATTCCAGGAAAATCCTTGTTAAGTGAAAACATTGTAAAGCGAAATTTAAAAGCCCATTGAAACGCATTGAAAATTCCTCAATGTGTTCCAATAGGTTAAAAACTCACCGTCCAGCGAAGATCCTCCATACGGCGGCCATTTTCAGTGCATGTATAGCAAGGAATCTGTCCCTAAGCACAGCGGGAAGCCATTTTAAGCACCCAGCGGCCATTTTGAAAACCCGACGATCAGCTGGTTTTGATCGCCGTAAAGCGAAAATCGGTTCCCAAAGCAGGGAACAGATCATCACTAAGCGAAATTCCCCCGTTTAGACCATCGTTTTGCGATCACAATTGCAAAAACATTGCCATAAAGCGGATTCGTCGTAATGTCGGGCAATCGTTAAGCGGGGCACAACTGTATTCTGCAGTTAAATCAACATAAACTACTTTTAAAAAATTAAGAATAACAGCATAGTTTCTTTTTTAAAATCCAATTTATTTGCATAGATTTGCAATTTTATCCCTGCCCTTGACCATTAATAAAATCCACGGCTAGAGTCATATGCCATAAAGCGGATTCGTCGTAATGTCGGGCAATCGTTAAGCGGGGCACAACTGTATTCTGCAGTTAAATCAACATAAACTACTTTTAAAAAATTAAGAATAACAGCATAGTTTCTTTTTTAAAATCCAATTTATTTGCATAGATTTGCAATTTTATCCCTGCCCTTGACCATTAATAAAATCCACGGCTAGAGTCATATAATCCAGTGTTCCTCAACCTTTTTTGTAGTGCGGACCAGCGGAGCCTCTGAGGGAGGTGGGGTGACCCCTCGCACTTGTGCTCTCCGATGCATGCGCAAAGTGGTTGGGGAAGTGGTTCCCCCACCGCTTCGTACATGCGCAGGAGCGTCTGCCCACCCCCCCACACACACACCGCACCCCTGCGCGCGGGCACATGCTTGAAGGGGTGAGGGAGTGTTTACACTGGGGAAGGGTGGCGCTATTTTCCAATCGCGACGTAGGTGAAGACCATCAGGGGCGAGGAGCCCCTCCTTATGTTTGGGGGGCAGAGATAAGAAAGGAACCGCTTGCTGGGGTTCGGTAAGGATTGCTGGCCTTTCCCTTCCCCACCCCAGAACAGAAGCCTTTGCTCGTCTGCCCTGCCCACTGCTTTAACTTGCTGAGGCACAGCAACAAAAGGAAGAGAAGCTGCGCCGGTGGCTCTTTTTCTCCTGCCCGTCCCCCTTCACCTCGTCACCCTCCTTCTCTGCAGTGTTGCACCTCCAGCAAGTAAAGTGTAGGGGGGAAGGGAATATTCTGGTTTGTTTGGGAGGCTTTGCTTTCTCGCCAGTTTGGGTTCCAACTTGGCTGGAATTCTCCAGCTCGTCAGGAAGCCCTGTTGCTGATCGACTTCAGAAGAAAAGTGCGGCGGCAGCGTGGGCTATGGAAGAGAGAGTTCCACAAGCCGCATGTTCCTGAAGCAGACATTGATTAGTCAGCCACTTTGTCTGTGGAAAGCGCAGGCGCAGGGTGGGGGGTTGAGGCTGCATCCAGACGACCCTGGACTCCCTTTGCCACCACTTCCGCCTTTGGGAAGATGTTCCTGGC